GGGACTAGAACCCGGTGTGCCGGCGCCGCAAGGCAGAGGATTAGCCTAGTGAGCCGCGGTGCCGGCCACCTTCTTTCTTATTGTTGGCTTTGTTTCTGTGTTTCTGAGTGTAACCCTTCTTTAAGCATCTTTTGCAGGGCTGGACGAATGGTGACAAAATCTTTCAATTTCTGTTTGCTATGAAAGATCTTAATTTCACCTTCATTCAAATTGAGAGCTTTGCAATATATAATATTCTGGGCTGGCATTTTCTCTCTCTTGGTACCTGGGCTATATCTCGCCATTCCCTCCTAGCCTGTAGGGTTTCTGATGAGAAGTTAGCTGTGAGTCTAATTGGAGATCCTCTGAAAGTAATTTGACGTTTCTCTCTTGCATATTTTAGAATATTTTCTTTCTGTTTCACTGTAGTGAGTTTGATTACAATGTGTCGTGGTGAAGATCTCTTTTGGTCATGTTTATGTGGGGTTCTATGAGCTTCCTGTACTAGGATGTCTCTGTCGTTCTCCAAACCCAGGAAGTGTTCTGCCAGTATCTCACTAAAAAGGCCTTCTAATCCTTTCTCTCTCTCCATGCCTTCAGGAACTCCTGGAACCCGAATGTTGTTTTTTTTTTTTTTAATAGTATCCTATAGATTCCCAACAATATTTTTTAGATTTCTAATTTCCTCTTCTTTTCTTTGGTTTGACTCTATCCTTTCCTGTTCTCTGTCTTCTAAGTCTGATATTCTCTTTTCTGCTTTACTCTTTTCTGTTTTTAAGGCTCTGTAATGTGTTTGTCATTTGATCTATCAAATTCTTCACTATCACAATTTCATTTTCTACTAGTTTCTTCATTTCATTTTGATTCCTCCTTTAGATTTCATTTTCACAAGAGAGATTTTCTATCCTGTCCAGTAAGGATTTCTGTGGTTCAAGAATTTGTTTTTGAGAACTTCTAGATGTTTTTACCATAAATATTTTGAAATCTGTATCTTGCATTTCTTCTATCTCATCATCTTTATAATCTTGAATTGGGGTGTGTAGTTCATTTGGGGGCGTCAATTATGACATTAGTCTTCCTTGTTCTTGTTTCCTCAGTTTCTGCGTTTGTTGCTTGGAATTGTGGAGATATTCTTTGGTTTCTTCATTTTTTTCCCTTGCTGTGGTGGGTTTTCTCAGTATACTATGTCTCTAGATTAAGTGGACTGTCTGCTTTTGATGGATCTTTAGAGGCTTGTGATGGGTGTGGTCAGCGAGCTCTGTTCAGTTCTTCAGGGTTAAGGGTGTGCTAAAAATGACATACCCAGGTTAGGCATGGTAAATCAATCTCTCTCTCTTTCTCTCTGTCTTTTTCTCTCTCTCTCTTATTTTATTCAGAAGGGATATAGGTCCACACAGCTGATCAGAGTTGAAGGCAGAATTGAGCTCTGTGCTCTGGCCCCTGTGGGTATAATATTCGTCTGCTCTGTCCCAAGGACCACACAAAGGATCTGTGCAGACTTCAGTATAAGCTCACATTCCCCTGTACTCCCCCACCGGGTTGCCAAGGTTACTGAGATTGTGGCATCTCTGGAGAGTACTCACTTCACCAGTACTCCGTGAGTCCTCTGCCACACTCTTGGTCTTTTTTTTTCTTTTTTCACAGTCTCAGTTCATTAGTTCCATACATTCACTAGGTCCTAAGCTCCTGTTATTTCTCCCCACCAGAGTCAGATTCTTCTGCTTGGCTGATGGCGGGTGCAGCTTTTACATATGTCCAAAATGGCACCTGCTCTTTGTTTTGCTTGCCTTTGTGAGTGGAGAGAGATAATCGTATCCATACCAGTTCCTTTTATTTTTATTTTTATTTATATATATTTTTTCTTCTCCTCTAGTTAGCATGGTGAACTTTCCCCCTCGGGGCTTCAAGTCTCTGTTCCCTGTAGGCTCTTCCTGCCGCTTCCCTGCCAGTATCTCGGGCTATTGTGGTTTTGCCTCACCTCCCTTTCCAGCGCTGGTGTGTAGACTCGGCAGCTGGGGTCCCGAGCCGTGGGCATCCATGCCCTCCATGTAGGTCCGCCATGTCTCACTAGTTCCGGAAGAGTTTCCTCTGTAGATTTTTCCCTAACTTTTCCCTGAAACTACAGTATCTCCACTTTTATTAAACTATCTTTTCCCAGACTATCAGTGTGCTCCCTCCCTATTCTGCCATCTTGGCGTGAGAGTGGCCTCCTGGCTTTGGCCTGGCCTAGTCCTGCCTTTTTTTTGTCACAGAGGAGTTGCCAGTGGATGGAAGATTCTCTCTCTGTCCTTCAAATAAATAAATAAATAAATATTAAAAGCAATACAGAACAGCAATAAAATGAGCAAGTTGGTTTTTACCCCAAAAGATTAAATTGAAAAATTCTTTGCTATACCAGAGGAAAAAGAACAAAAATTCAAATCAGAAACAAAACAAGAGGCGGCCAGTCTTGGCACAGTGGGTTAAAGCCCTAGCCTGAATTGCCGGCATACCATATGGGCACCAGTTCTAGTCCCAGCTGCTCCTCTTCTGTTCCAGCTCTCTGCTATGGCCTGGGAAAGCAGGAAAAGAGGGCCCAAGTTCATGGGCCCCTGCACCTTTGTGGGAGACCCAGAAGAAGCTCCTGGCTCCTGGCATCAAATGGGCACAGCTTCGGCTGTTGGCAGCCATATGAGGAGTTAACTACCAGATGGAAGACCTGTCTCTCTCTGTCTCTACCTCTCTCTGTAACTCTGTCTTCCAAATAAATAAAATAAATCTTTTAAAAAAATAATAAACAAAACCAGAAACATTACAATTAACATCATAAAAATGCAGAAGACCAATAGGGACTATACTGAAAAAACATGTCAACATAATTGGAATTGGTTCTTTAAAAGTTGGGTAGAATGAAGTAGTGAAGCCATCCAGTGCTGGGCTTTTTCTTTTCTTTTTTTTTTTTTTGCGGGGTGCTGTCTTTTAATGATTAAATCTCTGTCATGATTATTGGTCTATTTAGGTTTTCCAAGGTCTTCTGAATCAGTTTTGGTAGGTCATCTCTGTCTGGCAAGCTATTGATTTCTGTGAGATTTTCCAATTTGTTGGATATAATTGTAGTAATTCCTGATGACTTTTTTTTTTATTTCTGTGGTAACCATTGTAGCATCTCCTTTATCATCTCTGATTTTATTAATTTGGATCAGCTTCCCTTTTTTTGTTGATTGGGCCAAGGGTGTATCAATTTTGTTTATTTTTTCTTTTTTTAAGATTTATTTATTTATTTGAAAATCAGAGTTACACAGAGAGAGGAGAGGGAGAATAAGAGTGTGAGGGAGAGGGAGATGAGGAGAGAGAGAGAGAAAGAGAGAGAGAGAGAGAGAGAGAGAGAGAGGTCATCCCTTCAATGGTTCACTCCCCAGTTGGCCACAATGGCTGGAACTGCACCGATCTGAAGGCAGGAGCCAGGAGCTTCTTGTGGGTCTCCCACATGGGTGCAGGGGCCCAAGCACTTGGGCTGTCTTCTACTGCTTTCCCAGGCCATAGCAGAGAGCTGGATTAGAAGTGGAGCAGCCGAGACTTGAACCAGTGCCCATATAGGATGCTGGTGCTTCAGGCCAGGGCATTAACCCAGTGCATCACAGCACCGGCCCAAATTTTGTTTAGTTTATCAAGAAAAACAGCTGTTCATTTCACTGATCTTATCATCTTGTAGTTTCATTTGTTAATCTCTAATATTATGATCTATACTCCATTTATATTAGCGTTTTTGTAAAGTACTTCAGGATGGCATGGTCAAATCCTTAATCATTTCTTTTTTTTCTCCTTTTTTAAGAAAGCTTTTATTTAATAAATATAAATTTCAAAAGCACAACTTTTGGATTATAGCAGTTACCCACATACCCGCCCTCCCACCTCTTCTTCCGTCCCATCTACTACCCCCTCCCATCCCATTATTCATTGAGATTCATTTTTAATTATCATAGAATGGCAAATGCCCTAAACAGCTCTCTGGCCTCAGAATTAGCTCCTTAAGGCACTTGGATCTGGCTAAAAAGCCCATGAGAGCATTTCACACATGGAAAGCCAAGACACTCTGACAAAAAAATGACATAAATGAAAGATTTCTGAGTGAGATCTCAGTGGAAAGAAGGGGTCATCAAAGAAGGAGGTACTTTTCTCTGTAGGAAGGAGAGAACTTCCACTTTGATTATTGCCTTGTCTAAATAAGGTCAGAATTGTGAACTCAAGAGACTTTAGCCTTGGCAACTCATGACAAGAGCCTCAGTTGATTACTGAAATCATAAATAAGAGTGTCAATTGTTAAATCAACAACAGGAGTCACTGTGCATTTGCTGCCCATGTAGGACCTCTGTCCTTAATGAGGTGTACTATGAGAATTAATGGTAAAACTTGTCTTCAAACAGTACTATACTTTGTGTGTCTGCGTTGGTGCAAACTGTTGAAATCTTCACTTAGTATAGAGTTGATTTGCTGTATATAAAGATAATTAAAAATGAATCTTAATGAAGAATGGGTTGGAAGAGGAGGTAGGAGATGGGATTGTTTGCAGGTGGGAGAGTGGTTATTGGGAAAGAACTGCTATAATCCAAAAGTTGCACTTTTGAAATTTATTTTTATTAAATAAAAATTTTCTATTAAAAGTTAATTAAGGAGAGACAAAGACATTTCTAAACAAATAAAATCTGAGGAAATTTATTTCTACCTTATGAGAAATTCTGAACAGAATTCTTTGTACTAAAATTAAATAATATCATATATACATATATATGTAAAGCATGCCTTAAAATGTACATGGGACATTCATATTTTGAAAAAAAATACATGGATTTTAACCATTTTTTACACCAAAATAAATTTATGTTTTAATTCCATTTTCACAAACTTTTAAATATCCACGTAGTGCATAGAATATCTAAAGGTATAAAATCCAAAGATAAGGATAAATAACACAATGAATTAAAAATATTCTCATATGATAGCTTGAGATTTTATCTAATTATACATGACTAGGACTAGAGATCCAAGGGAAGTTGCTGGGGTTATCTAATGTAGATCTTTGGAATAGAGTGTACATCCAATTTGATGCCAGAATCTCTGTAATTTTGAGGGAGAGTTCTCTGAGCTCACATGGTAACTGCTAAGATCTCTAGGTTGACGATACCCATAGGTTAGGCAGTTATTAAATATATTCATATGTAGTGTTAAGGTGCAGACTGAAAGCAGCTGCCACTGCCAGGGTGAAAGCTGGTACTAAGGCAACAATGATGTAAAAAAACAATCAGCAGGCCTGTTAGGTTTGTAATCTGTCTGGTTGTTCCACTCTAGGTGGAAATAATTGGTGATACTGGCAAAGAAGCAATGTGCTTCATCATTTCCCATTGATCATGTGGCAAAACAATGAAAAAGAGAAGGAGTTTTGGAATTGGGAGACAGCAAAGGAACCCAAACAATAACCATCCTTTGTGGTGCTTTTGGTCAGAAAGCACAAAGAGACTAATTCCATAAAAGGTAAACCAGTATAATTTCTTAAAATCATGGAAAGTATTAATATGTTAGGATTTATCTTTATTTATCAGCTATGTTCATGATATTGTAGTATAATGAATTATTGGGACTTTCAGTAAGTCTTCTATGACATGTGCAATGACATTTCTGCCATCTGCTTGCAAAAATTTAACACAGGAGAAATTTCAATGCAGATCAGTTTTATTTTTGATATTGTATGTTTTTGCTCTTCTTTCTCATGTGATTTTGAATCTTTTGCTTGCTTTTCTTTCTTAGGTAAAGTTTAAACATAATGTTTTCTTTTTCTTAGCTTCAGTTTTAATTTTGATTGTTATTTCTTAGATGGAGTTTGAAAAATTACTCATCTTTCTTAGGCAGCATTTAAACAATACTCTACTTTTTATTAGGTACCTTTTTCTGTGGTTGGCTACGGGTAGTTGGAACATTTTGTGCTGGCTGGTTAGGTGAGGTTTGAGCATTTTGCTCTTCTTTTTCAGAAGATTTTCTGTTCATCAAACAACAGAAAAGTAAAAGGCAGCAAAGCAAAACAAAAAGTGGAATTGATAAGAGAAAATAGGAATTATCCTCCTTTTTTACTTTAGGAACTTCTTTTTTTCTCTCAGGGGGTGGACCACTATCAATACTACCTCCATAGCCTTTTTGTTGGCAGTATGGTGGAGCAAAATCATTTCCACAATGGCAGTGATGTTTACTATTGCAAATTCCATTCATATTGCACATATCAGGTAAACATTCTTTATCCCAAGCTGGCACAGGCACACACCTCCTATTGATACACACACGCTCTTCACCACATTCTGTACCATCTTTCACATCACCAATATCAGGTGTTACTGTCCCAAAATGGTAGTCAACACCCCAGCAATTGAGGCCATGTGCCTGAGTTATATGCACATTAGAATGATTTCTCAAGGGGGGAATTTCCATCACATTCTCACATTGAATCCTCCCACAAAGAATATCGTCAATATCACACCTTAGATATGACCTGCTATTATTTCCACAGTTACCAAAACGGTCACCACGGGTGTTAATTTCTCTGTAGCAAGTCTCATTCGCACTCTTGGCTTTCTTGCCAAAAATTTGCCTACACTGTTCATCACGGATATTGCATCTCTTTTCATAGCAGTAGCCCATGCCCAAGCAAGGGCTCCCATCCTGCACGTGTACATCTTCTGGACATTCATGCCAAGTTCCATTGCACCACTCTGGAAGATCACATTCATTGCTTTGTTTTCTACATACTTGTCCTGATGGCACCAATTGGCAGTCCCTGCAACAATTGCCAAAAGCACAAGCAGCCCCTGGTACAAGAGTGCAGTTTGTCGAACAACAGGGATCTTCTGTACATGATTCTAAAGATCCGCAGTCACATTCCTCTTCTTCTTCAATAATACCATTTCCACAGCGCTTTCGTGTGAAATAGGAATCTTTAGATGGTAATTCACGCAAACAGGTCTTTTTTATAGTGGTAGTCCAATAATAGTCGTAACTGCAGTTGCTGAATTTGGATGATGAAGTTTTAGATGGAAACATTATGCATTTTGTACTCGCACATCGACATCCTGGAGTATCATGCTGCATACCATAATTATGACCTAATTCGTGTGCTATGGTACTTACAAATTGGATCACTGATTTCTCCCTGAAACTATTAACGGCACAATTATATCTATTATCACATACTGCTCCAAGAAAGGCTAGTCCAAGATATGAACCAAATCCATGCCTTACAAGAAGATGGATAACATCATGGGGAATGCGATTGTTAAAGATGTCTGTTTTCCATTTGCAAAATCTACTCAGGTAAGCAGGCATCTTTGCATATTCTATGGGATTTTGTTCATTCCAAATCTCTATTCCAGGTAAAACCACGACCATGTCCAATGGTGCATAAATAATATTCATTACATTTACAAGCTCGATGACTTCATTCTGTGTGTTTGAGATATTACTGCCCAGATAAACATGTCGTGCATTATCCACAACTAAAGCCAGTCTTGTGTACCATCTGTGGGTCCACCAACCCTCATAATGGCTCTGCATCAGGATGGAATTATCAAGCTCTTGATACTGGAATTGCTGTGCTATCTCTTCTGTTAATCTGCATCTCATGGACGAGAATTGTGTATCCTCACTGTCAATCTTATAAACCAGATGTTCAAATTTGGCAGAATGTGTTTTGGGCTTGATTTCATAAAGAGTGTCATTTGTCTGTAACATTCCTTGCAACCCCCCAAAACAGATGCTAAGAGCAACCAGGGACTCTGGGTCTCCTTCCACATAACCATGATAGTTGCAGTCCTTCGGGACAAAAGGCTGATCCTTTATGAGAGCACCCTGGTCTGTGTAGGTGAATATGGAGAAGTGTCTGGTTATGAAAATCTTCTTGACCTTCATGTGGATAGTGAGTCTCTGATCCGCAATGTGCAGTCTATAGGAGAGCCACTCTGGAGTCTGTATACCTTTATCAGTGCCAGTTATCCTCAAGGGTATTACCACTTCTGGGTGGCTGTCGTGTTGAGAGTGCCCAGTCTGGGGCCATCCAGAAAGGAAGAGAAACACCACCAAGCAGAGCATCAGGAAAGTAATCTTCATATGTACCAGGACTTCAGCCATAGCCATGTGGAGCTGTGCATGAGAGCAAAGGAGGGGAGTGGAGGAGGCACCCCTGGGCTGTCTCCTCCCTTTGACTTGGTTGTCTGCAGCCTGACCTTTAATGGTGTGTCTTCTGGCAGGGACAGTACATCAGAGCAGGAGAACTGAATAAAGTGAAGAGAAGGGTAGAGACAGGGATGGTATTATTAGTTGTCAGGTATGGAGGGGAAAGAGCCAAGTGTGGGTTAAAATTTATTAATACTTGTCTTAGCACATGACTCAATATATTGAATTGGATTTGCTCTTAAACATTAATGAGATGGAAAGCCAAGACACTCTGGCAAAAAAAAAAAAAAAAAAAAAAAGACCTAAATGAAAGATCTCTGCGAGTGAGATCCCAGTGGAAAGAACGGGTCATCAAAGAAGGAGGTACCTTTCTCTGAAGGGAGGAGGGAACTTCCACTTTGACTACGACCTTGTCTAAATATGATCAGAGTCGGTGAACTCAAAAGGCTTCCATAGCCTTGGCAACTCATGACTGGAGCCTAGGGAGATTACGGATGCCATAAACAAGAGTGTCAAATTGTTAAGTCAACAACAGGAGTCACTGTGCACTTATTCCTCATGTAGGATCTCAGTCCTTAATGTGCCGTACATTGTGATTTAATGCTATAACTAGTACTCAAACAGTATTTTTCACTTTGTGTTTCTATGTGGGTGCAAACTGCTGAAATCTTTATTTAATATATACTAAATTGATCTTATGTATATAAGAGAAATGAAAATGAATCTCGATGTGAATGGAAGGGGAGAGGGAGCAGGAGATGGGAGGGTTGCGTGTGGGAGGGAAATTATGGGGGAGAAGCCATTGTAATCCATAAGCTGTACTTTGGAAATTTATATTCATTAAATAAAAGTTAAAAAAAAACATTAATGAGACCTGTCAGACTCTAGGTGTACAAAAGATGATGGCCACAGGTTGATAATTATTAAACCTAAATGAAGGACACATGGACACAATATACTTTTGCCTAAATATGCATACATTTGTAAATATAATATGCATATGTAGGGGTATCTGTGTGATAATTTGCAATAAATGTTTTTATTCATATAAGGGAAGACATTTCATGTATTTCATATATACAGTTTTAAGAACGTAATAACACATTCCACTCAATCTTCCCTTCCTCCCTCACTCCCACCCTCCTTTCTCTTTCCTTTCATGTTTTTCTTCTAATATTTGCATTGACATACTTTAAACTTATTTTATATGTCACAAGCTTGATATTCCACTAAATAAAGAATACAACAGGTAGTAAGTAGAAAAGTCATCTTCTTGCAGGAGTATAGGCCATCTAAAAATATAATTTAATGTATTTATATTATTCTTTTTTTGTACTCAGGGAAAACGTGATATTTGTTTTTGTGGATTGGCTTATTTCAGATGAAACAAACATCTATAGTGCTTTGTTTTGTTATTAAATTGTAAATTACTTAATCACATTACTAAGGAAACATGTAAAACACACATACATTTTCTCATGGTGCCCAATACCTGCTTTCATATAACCAATCATTCTTTGTCCTGTCTTCATTTAATCTTGTCAAACTGTGTCAAGAATGTTAATATGTGCGTAAAGGATGCCTTCATTTTGTCCAACAATAAACAGTCTAAATAGTATTAGAATAGGAAGGGGAGTACCTTGGGTTATTAGGTGTTATCCAAAGGTGTTTACATTTGATTTTATTGATAGTAAAATAATGTTTCTCAAAGCATCTTATCACCTATAGTGGATTTGAAATCCAACCAGCTGGGAAAGTAACAATTGGAGATGGGAGAATGCTGAAAGCAAAATAAAATGCCTTTGTAAATAAAAATAAAATCATTAATCTCCAAAAGAGGGGTCCCAAGATTGACCTTCGATGTATTTATCTCAGAAATTTAAAAAAAAGTATTTACAGAGCTCATATTAAAATTCGATAATATTTTAGATAATGCAAGTGTGCTATCACATATTTGTGAAATAAGAAATCTTGTCCTAGCACAGTGCCTGGCTAGTTTTGCTGATTTATTGCTTTGTTCATGCATAAAACATGAATATCTATGAACTGTATTCAATTTATTTTCTTTATATTGATTTCACATTAATATGAAAAAATAAGGTAACTGTCAGCTATTAAAAATGAGGAAATCACATGAAAAAAATCCACATATTCTGTAGCCACTATGTTACACACTTGAGAAACACAAATAAACCATACAGTCCCAAATAAATTAATGTAGAGAGTACAAATTTAGTAAGAGTGTTTATAGTATATTATTTAAGAATCTAAAATAGGGCCGGCGCCGTGGCTCAATAGGCTAATCCTCCACCTTGCGGCGCCGGCACACCGGGTTCTAGTCCCACTCGGGGCACAGGATTCTGTCCCGGTTGCCCCTCTTCCAGGCCAGCTCTCTGCTATGGCCAGGGAGTGCAGTGGAGGATGGCCCAGGTGCTTGGGCCCTGCACCCCATGGGAGACCAGGAAAAGCACCTGGATCCTGGCTCCTGCCAACGGATCAGCGCGGTGCGCCGGCTGCAGCGGCGGCCATTGGAGGGTGAACCAACGGCAAAGGAAGACCTTTCTCTCTCTGTCTCTCTCTCTCACTGTCCACTCTGCCTGTCAAAAAAAAAAAAAAAAAAAAAAAAAAGAATCTAAAATAACATTCAATAGTTTACATTTAAATTTGTATTTTAATTTATCAATTGGAGAGCATCCACAATCTTTATCAGATCATTAGCATTAAGTGATTATTGGGAGTGGTCATTTGGCATAGGCATTAAGAAATCTGTGTCCCACAGAGAGTACCTGAATTTGAAACGTGGTTTTGGATACCTGCTCCTGGTAATGTGCACCATGGAAGTAGCTCAACTAGTTTGGTCCCTGACAGCCATATGGGAGATCTGCATTGTGTTCCAGTTACTAAGTCTGGCTGGCACAGCCCAAACATTTTGGGTACTTGGGAACTAGACCAGTGGCTCAGAGCTGCCTGTCTCTTTGTTTCTGTCTGTCTCTTCTCTCTGTGTGTGTCTCTGCCACTCGGGAAAATAAAACACAAAAACAGTAGTGAAATTATTAAAGTAATGTAATTAAGATTGACTGAGCTGGTTAAAAAACAGAGGAAAGTAAATTTTCTGTGAGGGCTTAAAACTCACTGATCACAACACCTTGCACATATTCAAGATTACGCAACTGAATGATGCTAGATTTAACACCTGTCATCTCCTGGACTCCAGAGTGCTCTATACTTAATTTTTCTTTCACTTTGATTCTAATTTATTTGACCTCTTCTTTCTGGAATAATTTTCCTGTGTATTATGGAATTATGGAATATTCCTTTCATGAGAAGCTATAGCAATCTCTGAGTCGCACTTCTTTATGAAGAACTCTTTTTCCTTCTTTATTTTTTTTTTAAAAATAAAACTAAGAACAGCAATATGAAATGAAGCAGAGTACAAGTTTTCAAATCTCAGAATTTCCTTCTTCTCTACAGAACAGATGTTTGTTTATCATTTGTTTTGAATGCCAAGCCCCGCCCTATCTTTTAAATGGTGGCTTTCTCATCATGTCAGTATTTACTTTTATTCTTTGCTTTTTATTATACCAATCACCCACATCAGTCCTGCCTAAAATAAAAATGACTGTGCCAGATTTACTACTTCATTCTCTGCCAGTAACCTTATCTGTATTGTTACTCAGTTTGGCAAGCACGTGCACACTCCGAAGCAGTAAGTACATTTTTCTATTTACCATTACTACACATCTACAGTGATCAGTATAGGGCCATGATACATTTAATCCAGGGTGAAACAGGGTACCCTCCACCGTCCTCACTCTTATAAAGTAAATTGTCAGCCTCAACATTTATTGTTAATGGAAATTTACTTGTACATATTATAGCAGAGTATTCTTTCCATGTTTTCCCACTTTTCTAGTTACCATCAATGTACCCTTCTTCCTTATAGCCTAGTTTGTAGAGTGTATCAGTTCAGTAACTGCTGATCAAAATTCCCAGCCTAATGTAGATGAGTCATATTTCCTGATTTTTTTTTCTGCAACACATTGCCAACAATGCTAGGAGAATCAACTACAGGGTGTGATTAGGGAGATATTTAACATATGTAAACACAGAGTTAAAGATAAGTTATCTTCACAGCTCTGCCTAAAGGATGAAATACTGAACAGAGATCTAGTGCAAACACTCATCCTGTCAGTAATTTGTGCTTCCTAGTCCATATTTTTTCCTTAAATTTCTGATTTTCTAATTTTCCTCGTCAATATGTAGCATGCTCAACTGAGCACTCACACTGTCATCTTTTTTTTCTTTCACTAGTGTTTTTTTTTTACCAAATTTTTAATTATTGCTTAAGCTATAGAGCAAAGAATATTTCAATTAATGCTTATTTAATATAGTACCAGATATTTCCCTAGGTGGCAAGAAACTTATTTGAGGCTAGAGAATATCCTCCTCATTAAAGTGACAAGAGTGCTTTAATTGCTTGGTTAATCAGATAAAATGGAGAATTTATTAACAAAATGCCAAGAGCCAAAAAGAAGAAAGCAACATCACTAGAAGGAAATCCTTGAAGTCAACTTCTCTCAATAATATAATTCTTATAAGCTGATTTACTCTCTTTATCTACCTTGAATATTTTTGATAATTAGTATGGATTGTGGATTTTTTTACACTTTTTCTTAAACATTTATGCATTAAGTTGAATGGGAGAGAGGAGAAGCAGAAGGTGAAGGAGAAGAGGAAGAAGAGGAAGAGAAAGAAGAAAGACGCAGAGAGATAGGTAGATAGATACTGAAATATTCTCCTTTAGGGTTAAACTCTTGAAAGGCTTACCAACAACAAATGAAGTGATGATTCTCATAATTGTTTAGCTTTATAGCCTCCTTCATAGATAGTTTTTAGCATCCCTATGTATATTCCTATGAACAGAAATTTTCCTTTGAGAACTCACATTCTAAAGAGACACACATATCCTCACCTTCATTTGTGTTTCATTTGGTTAAGTTCTAGAGTTAACTACCTAGCAACAAGAGCTGCTCAGTTCTATAGAACATGAGAAGTGGACAAGATAGCTTTTCACTCTGGTCTGTCACCTCAACCAAACTGTATTTATAATTACTTTTCCGGTCATGTAAATATACTTTCCTTAATGCTACTAAATGTGCTCTAATAGCTATTCAAAATAAGTAAATATAATTTCCTAATCCCCTTATGTTTGCTCCTCATATGAGAATAATCGTTTTAGCTAAAATACTTTTTATCATACTTTTACCCTTATCCCAGATTATGTAATAAACAGTGAAAATATTATGGATTGTTTAACATCATTAGCGTTCCAGAAAAAAATCCAATCTCATTAAAACATTTAAAAGAATCCAGATATCAACAATTATTCTTACCTTTCAGTGAATAATTCAGCAAAATTTCATATGTCCCATAAATATGCTTCATCTGTTATTGAGAACTGTTGCCAGTAAGAAAAGGCAAGAACAGAATAGAGCAGAGTGAGAGGAATAAAATAATTTTGGGGGATAAATATCATAAGTAATCTTCTAGGTCGTAGTTTAAAAATATCAGTATGGGAAAATACATTTAACATGTTGGCTGGAGAAACCACAGAACAAGTTTTGATTATTATCATGGAAAGTTTCTCTATGGGACATATGGTGTTGTTGATAGCTGAAATTTTTGTTTATGCTTGTGTCTTTCGGTTTCCCTATTACCCTAGTAATCCCAGTTATGTACCATATGCTCACTGGATTTTCCCTTCAGCTTTTATTATAACTAATATGCAAGGAACCAAATTTGACCATGATGGTTTTAATTTTGTAGTATTTTATAGGGCTGCCATAAAAAACCAACACAAGAAATCCACGTAACAATAACAATTTATTATCTGACAAATCTATAAATTACAGGTCTAGTATCATGATATATTCAGGATCACACCCACTTTTAGGTTGCTAGAGAAGGTTCTGTTCCTTGTTTCTCTTCTAGGTTCTGGTAGTTTCTTGGCTTGTGATAGCATAATTTCAGTTTTCCCTCTTGTTCTCTTTGTGTTTAAAATTCCTGCCTTTCACAGGGAAGACCATTTACATAAAACAATATAATCCCTAAAAACTGTTTAGAGATGAATAACATCATAATCATAAAATCAGTTCATCAAGAAGATGTGAGGTTACTTCAAAAAGTTTAAGGAAAATATAATTAATGGGTAAGTTAATTTTGGTAAAATTTTTGAAGTTCATGCTTAATTTTTTCATAGTGTGCATTTTGCATGAACTTTTTGAAAACTCATTGGCGTGGATTTTGAACTGCCTTGCATAATTCCATTTTCATTAACCTTTTGAAGTAACATCATATGTAGCAATTGTAAATATACACGCATGCAATATAAAAACAGCTAACTATATGAAACAAAGATGGAAAGATATATATATAAGGATGAAGCAAACAGAAATTCAATAATGGTAGAATTCAGTCCTCCACTTTCAAATTGGAAGAAAATCAAAACAGAATATCCATAACAGGACAACAGATTTGAATAACACTTTAGAACCAATGGATTTGACAGACATATTCAGAACATACGAAATGTGGTAGTAGACACCCTGTTGTCTTCAAGTACACACAGAACATCCTCCCGGAATGATCATATGATAAGGACACAAAATGTGCTTTAACAGATCTAAGAAGACTGAATAACTTTTTCTGATCACAATGGAATGACTCTAGAAATCTTTAGGTGAAAGAAGACTGGAGAAATAAACAGAAATGTGAAAATTATACAGACCATCTTTAAAAACAGTGGGTCAATAAAGAATTCAATTTGTTGGCTTTGTAGTACAGCGGTTTAAGCCACCAGTTTTGATGCTTGTACGTCGTTATCTGAGTGCTGGTTTGAGTCCAACCTGCCCTACTTCTGTTCCAGTTCCTCCTAATGTGCCTGGGAAAGCAGCAAAAGATAGCCCAAGTTTGTGGGCCCCTGCCATGCACGTGGGAGACCCAGATGAAGTTCCTCACTCCTGGCTTCAGCCTGGCCCAGTCCGGGTTGTGGCAGCCATTATGGGAAGTAAACCAGTGGATGGACCATACCTGTTTGTTTTTCACTTTTTCTGTCTGTTACTCTGCCATGAAAATAATCAAATAAGGCATAAAATAACAAAAGGGAAGTAAAAATATTTCTCCAGACAAAAATTAAAGCAGAGCAGTTCATTACTGAAAAGATACAGCAACAACAGCAGCAAGAAGGAAGTTTGCTGCATTAAACGCTTACTATCAGAAAGAAAAAAGACCTAAAATATATACCTTATGAAACAGGGATGAAAAGAAAATATTAAGTCCAAAATTAGCAGAAGGAAGTATATGACAAAGATTAAAGCAGAAAATAAAAAAAAAAGAAAACCATAGAAAAAAGCATTCAAATGGATTTGGTTTTGTAAACGATGAATAAAGTTGACACATTCTTAGCTATATATAGAAAAGTGAGGACTCAAATGAGTAAAAGCAGAATTGAAAGAAGACATATTATTACAGATGTCATGGAAAATATGAACAGAGCAGGGGCCAATGTAGTGTTACAGTGCCTCTGCCTGTGAAGCCAGCATCCCATATGGGCCCTGGTCGAGATCCAGCTGTTTAGCTTCCAGTCCAGCTCCCTGATGATGTACCTGGGAAGGCAGCGAGCAGAGGATGAAATAAGTATTGAACCCCTACACCCATGTGGGAGACCCTGAAGAAGTCTGAGACTCCTGGCTTCAACCTGGCCAAACCCGGCAATTGTGGCCATTTGGGGAATGAACCAGTGGTTGGAAGATACTTCTCTCTCTCTCTCTTTCGCTCTTGCTGTCGCTCTCACTCTCTCTTTCCTGCACTCTCAAATAAATAAAAAATAAATAAAAAAGAACAGAACAATAAGTAAAGAGATTGGATCAGTAATAAGAGATCTCCCAAAAAGAAAAGCCCCAGACTGGATGGCTTCACTGACCAGTTTTTTCAAAACTTTTAAAAAGTATTCAGATAAATTTTTCTAAAAGTATTCCAAAATTTTGGAAGACTACCATGACCCTGATACACGAAACAGACAAACAACAGAAAAAGAAAATTACAATTCCTATTCCTGATGATGAGAGATGGAAAAAATTCATAAAAATACTAGCAAACTCAATCAGCAACACATGAAAGGATTATACATCATGATAAATTTAAATCTATCCCAAGAATGCAAAGATGCTTGAGAGCTCATGATGATAAACCATAAGATTATCTTAGTAGAGAGAAACAAATTTGGTAAAATTCAACTTTCCTTAATGATAAAGAGTTCTCCCAAAATTGGGCATAGAACGACCATAACACATCACAGTGAAAGCTATATGTGATGTATTCACAGCCGAAATCATACTAAATTGGAAAAAGTTTTAAAATCTGGAGCAACATAAGGATATCCACTTTTACCACATCAAGGCAAAGAAATAAAGCACATTAAAATAGGAAAAGAGGAAGTCAAGTTATCCCTGTTTATAGATGACATATTTTTATATACATAAAGACAAACCTAAGCACTCCATCAAAACTGTTGGAAATTTGAAAGGATTTAGTAATGCTGCAGAATACAAAATCAACATGAAAAATAGTAGCATTTTGTATACCAGTGACGAACTTGCTGAACAAGAAATAACAAAAGCTGTCCCAGTCACAATAGCTGAAAACGACATTTGAGAAAAAATAACTAAGGAAATACATGATTGCTAAAATGAAATTTATAAACCACTGATTAAGGAACAGAATCTATTCAACTCTATAACAATACCAGTGTGAGAAAACCATAATTAAGTAATTAAGAACACCACATATGAAATAGCGCCTGGTTTCAAGACCTGGCTTTGCTCTCAATTCCAGCATCCTGTACAGTCCTTTGGAGGCATCATGGGATTTCTCAGTTTGGCTCCACAAGGGATACTTGGGTTGAGTTCTTAGCTTCCAGCTTTAGCCTAAGTTCAAGGCAAAACATGCATTTATATGTTTTGAGGATTGAAAAAGTGAGTGAGGTTTCTTGAATTTCACTGTTTTTTTTTTTTTTTTTTTTTGTCTTTTTCCCTCTCAGGAAAATAAATATAAAGTTAAAAGATATCAGTAGCGGAAGTAAGCATGTATTCAGGCTGTTATTTTACCCAAATCTCACATTAGGGTACCTGGGTTTAATTCCTGGCTGTGGATCCAGACTCTACCTTCTGCCCAATACAGACCCTGGAGGCAGTAGTTATGTCTCCATCATCCTGATTGTTTTTCTAGCACCCAGATCCAGTCCGTAGCTAAGTCCTGTCCATTGTGAAGATGCAGAGTGGACTAGTGGATGGAATCTCACTGTCTCTTCCTTTCTCCCTCTCTTTCTTCTCTGAAAGAAGAAAATTACAGTTATAAATACAAACATCATTATTTTTAGAAATGGAACAAAAAGTGTAGCAAGCATATTCAAATATAATGATCTCTGAATAGTCAAGTTAATCTTTTATGAAAAGCCTAAGATAGGGACATTACAGTAACTGATCAGAAATGATACTGCAAACTATTCTAACAGCGTGTTGCGAGCATAAAAATTGGCACATGCACCAATAGAATAGAATAGCAGACAAAGATATAAATGCATGAATCTAGAGCCAACTGATCTTTTGTAAAGGACCCAAAAATTATACATTGGAGAAACGTTACCATAAATGTTTTGGTAAACTAAATATTGGTATGCAGAAGAATAGACTTGCCTTTCTGCCCAAATGCAAATATCAAATCAAAATGGATCAAAGACCAAAACATAAGAGCTGAAATTATGAAAGTGCTAATAGGAAACATAGCAGAAGTACTTCAAGACCTTGGCACAGGCAATGATTTTTTTGGGTATAAGATCCTTAAAGTAGAGGCAATGGATACTAACATAGACCATTGTGCTTACTTTAAACTAAGAAACCTCTGTATATCAAA